AGGGGTCTCACGGAGCTCCCCCCTCCCCCACCTCGGCGGGGTCCCCGCTGGGATGTAACAGCGCCAACGCGGAAAGGGCGGGGCCGGCAGGCGGACCTACGCCCGACGTCTCGACGGATTCAGATCAGCCGGTGCGGGGAAGGGGGGGCACGGGGCCGCCCTTGGAGGAGCTAAACCACCTTTCTCGGCATCAACGGCGAACCGACGACACCGCGGTCTCTTCTTGGGCTGAAGGGTCAGCGTGTGCCTACTCAACAAAGGCGTCAAGCCAGCAGGTCTGTACAACCGCCTTGAGTGTTTTCACCACGGCAAGAAGGTTTCTATCTGGTTTGTGCGATGCCATGGGGGATTACGCACGAAATCACTGGTTTTGGCAGCTCTGTATCAGCTTCCATACTCCGCATTCCTGCTCGCAAGACCATCGCAGCCGACTCTTCCCTCCAAAGCGCTTAAACTCCACCAGAGAACTTCCCATTGTTTCTGAATCACAGCCCTTTTCCAAAGTTGCGCGAGCGGAGGATCTTTTTGGTTCGTCTTCGCGTCTGTTGGGCGAATTTTTCCAGGACGAACAACCCAATTCCCAGGGAGGTTTACTAGGAACTCCTCTTCCTACTTTTGATAGGGTTGCGATGGCGGAGTATCTGACGCCTTTGTCAACAAGGCGACATTCGAAGAGCAGCACGACCTGGAACTATAATTTATTTTCAAATAAGTGGGAATGGACAAGCGATGCCTTTGCTTCTACTTTGCACACTATGATTATATTTTTGCTTTAAGGAGACTAAAATTTCTTTTTTTCGACAACGTCCATGTTATATAGGGAGAGCGGAAAAGAGCATGCGAGAATGACTGCACAACTACCATTTTTTCTTCTCAATGTCTTTAATGCATTTACGTTTGTAAAAAGAATTATGGTGTTCATTTTTTATACACATAATCGTAGAAAGAGAGTATTGTGTTCCTTCGCTTGTGCTAAGGTAAAGTGTTGGACAATTACTGCAGACATATGCATGTGTTTATAGTTATTCTGAAACATGTTCTCCTAGTAGTATATACACTTATCTATCTATATTCATATAGTTATATTTTGCATAGTTGTAGGGATCAAGTTGGGAGTAAAAATAGACAAAAAGCGTGATTATTGAGTTTAAAGTCATAGATCCGTTCTATAGGAAAATAGTGAACACCCCCTTATTTTTGTTAAACTATACATTTTTAACATGATTTTATATTTAAAGGTTTCTTTATTTTGCTTTTATTTAATGCTACCTTCTTTTTCCAACTTTATTTTTGTTAAGGGGAGGCCTCTTTTTATGGTATTTTGCTTTCATTAGTGTTTCTTTGACCTTCTAAACTTGCAAACTAAATGTTTGAGGAACATTTCTGAAAGCGTATGCATTTGATTCCCTCTACCTAAGTATAAACTGACCAACCAAAAGAATATCAACTCAAGCGTTTTTATTAGTGAACATTAACGCAAAATCATATGAGTCTGATACATACGCATCAAATAGTAAAAGTATTTGAAAATTATACTAATACCAAAGTCTTAAACTTCACAACCCGTGTTTTTTCAATAGAAATTTTTAATCCATTATATACAAGTAACTAGCAAACGAGCAATACGATGGAAATGTTTTAATAGTAAAAAGAGGTTAAGAGTTTTCAAAATAAGACTAATATCTAAAGTTGCGAGAACAAGAATGACCCTCGCGGATACACACGAGATATATTATATTAAAAAATTCCAACTTCCGTCATTTTTTTAAATATTTTTCAAGTGCTTCTTATTTTTTTAATTGTAATTAACATATCATATAAAGTATGTGTATAAACAGACGTTCACTTCTCGCATTAGCATTACTTTAGTGCAAGAGTTTTTTCATTCAAAGGACAAGTTTGTTTTGGACACTTTTCTGTTTTCATTATTTTGTATAAGTTAATTTTCGAGAAGGGTAAATACGTAAAGAATTTGGAAACACATTCTAAAATATTTGAAAAACACTTGAATGCCTATTATGAAAGAGAAATACCTTTATATCTGAAACGAAAGGAGTGATGTAAAGAAAAGTAGGAAAATTGTAGATCACTGAACTTACGTTGAAATTAATCTCACCAGTTAATTTTATGTATCCTGCTTCAACAACAAAAATGGAGATATTCTATATTTGTGTCAGTAAGTATACATAGGCTTTAAATAAGAACTATAGACCTATTTTTGGCCTAAAATTCTTCTATATAAGCTTAATTGAGGGGTACTAAAAGAATGTTTTTCAGAAAATATTTCATTTATTTTCCCTTGATTGACCATTGCATACATAATAAAGTAAATACCCTTTTTGAAAAAAAAGGTATCCTTTTTAGTAGCTTTTTTATTTTGTTATTTTACTTGTTCTGAAAGCAAAGGGATATGCATAAAATAAATACAGGAGTCAATACAATATGAGTGTACCAAATACACATGATTCAATTGTTTTTAAATCTTCTATATTGATTATTTCCATCCAATTTCAATATTTTGAAATGTGATTGTTTCTTCAGTAATGCTATATTGTTTTATCGAAATGCCAAGATGATAATGGTACAATGAACAGCACTATATCTGATGCGTAACATAAGGAGCGTTAGAAGTGCATAATACAACAAAAATCCAATCTAGAATTATACTGTCGATGAGTACATGTACATTTTTTAAAGTATAATTTCAGTTAATCGACTGAAAAGAAGAGATTTTTTAAGAATAGAAAACAACTATTCAGATTATAAGAATCGATCTTAATAGAAGAAAAAACGGATTTACTGAACCATAACATACATAAATTCATTTCTGAGAAGCCACAGAGGCCTTAACAATACTTGAAGATAACGAAAAATTGGAGTAAAATTTTCTAGCGAGGTTAAAGAAAAAAATGTATGCTCCAGAAAACAATGAAAAATATCACAAAAAATATAAAAAATAGTCAGAAAAAAAAGAATATTTAGTAAAGTAACAGCTTCCACTACAAATTTATTTCTATGAAAGACAAAAAGCTACAAAAATTGCTAGAATCTTAAATGGTACCCAAAAAAAAAACAATACACCAGTAGTGCTAGAGAATAATTTAGCGTTTCATTTCGAGAATAAATAGT